TTATCTGGTAGGCTTAATAAATAATGACCTAAGATGGACGGCCACTGGACGTCAAAATACTACTAAACTTAAAATAAAGTCCAAAAACAGACGTTCTCTGGGTATCAATATTCAGATGTCAATTTAATTAGCATAAACGGACGTACACTGGATGCCCGGATATGGACGTCCTGACCCTCAAATAGATCTAAAGTGGACGTACATTGGACTATGTGTGCTGTCTGGGCATAGACGAATTTTTTGAAATAGTACTTATTTAAGTATGCACCAATATTTCCAAAATCAACTCCAGTATGATTCATTCAATAAATGTAAATATGAATGGGCAAAACATCTTTATATTGACATAATTGTACCTTACAATTTATCTATAATAAAGGGATTTCACCCATTTTGACCAATCCTAATTGAAACACGCGGATTTATTATATTTTTTTAAATATAATTTCAAAATAAAATAAACAAAATCTCCAGTTCATTGTTTATTAAATTTATTTAAAAGAAAAAAACATATATTTTACAAAATACAATACCTACATATGAAAAATAAAATGTCAAAAATGATTAAATCATTATACTTAATATTTATGCATGTGATAAAATTCTTAGTTACCTAGTAACTTTTTTGGCACATTTTATATCTGCATTAGAATACCTAAGTGTGTAAAAATCTTTATCTTATTACTACAAAAAACAAACACCAAAAAATATCACTTAACATTGCTCACGTACTAAACACAACTTGGACTGACTTTGACAGATAACATGATTTTGAGTGATACACAACTTATTTTCGCACATGCGCGTTACAAAACGGTACGCTAAAAACATCAAGCTGTCGCTTCTCCTTGATCGTTATTCTCGGGTCTGACCTTGATACTCTATCAAACTGGTGTTCCTTAAATGGCATGGACCTGAATGCCATAAAGTACTATGTCATGCGCTTTTATCGATCCCATGCACCAACTACTACTTTTGATTATAATTTAAAGTCATATCTTGGAGTCTGTTAATCAAATTAAAGACCTTGGATTTATTCTAGATCCTACTTTAAGCTTCAATCAACACATACCTAAGGGTATCCGTAAATCCATGAAAATGTTAGGTTTTATCAAAATGCTAACACATGATTTTACTGACACAATTGCAATTAAAGTCCTTTATTGTTCACTAGTATGACCTCACCTATCTGGTCTCCACATTACATAACGCACAGCAGAAACATAGAAAATGTGCAACATAAATTTCTTAGATACATAGCCTATAAATTGGGTGTATCTTGCGAATATGGTTTGATAGGGAATTTTCTAAACATCTCCTCTTTGGAAACTAGGAAGAAACAGAAACCTGACATTACTTTTCAAAATTATCAATGGCAGATGCAGGTGTACTGAACTTCTAACAAAAATAAATCTTTATGTTCCAACCCGCTCAACTCGACAGCAACAAACATTTTATGTACCTTTTTATCGTTTAAACCATACTTTTAGCAGCTCTATTCCAAGCCAACACTCATAACGATCTTGAGATATTTAACACCCCCTTTCATAAATTTATAAAGCAATTACTTAATACTGAGCTTTAATCTTTGATCTTTAATTTTTTATTTTTAATGTAAATATTTTATTCAACCTTATTGTCTTTTGTCTATATGTAATGAAATATACCACGTTTGTATTTCAGCACCATATATATTTCATTACATTTTAATTATAATTTAAAATTGAAATTTATTTCTCAAATGGGCTTGCCCGTAAGTAAATAAATAAGATCCCAGACGCCATTAGATTACTTTCTTTGGAGATATCTGAAAAACAAGGTTTATCAAAATATGCCGGCTAATATTGATGATCTAAAAAACAGACTTGGAGTGGAATCAAATAACATTACGGCTGAGGTCATTGAGAATTCCATAGACGGGTTTTACCATCGCCTGTGAGCCAGACAAGTAGAGGATGGAGGACATTTTCAACATCTGCTACGTTAATTCACCCGTCGAGAGCACTAAAAAGGTATTTGTAACTTTTTTTTTTAAAGAATTTTTTTCTCATTTTCCAATAACCACATAAGTAAAAGAAAAAAAGGGGCATGTTGAGATTCCATTTTTCACAAGTTTATTAATGACCCTACAAACGATATACCTTTGCATATGAAACAAAAGTTGGGTAGGGTTGCAGCTAAGGGGTACGTCTAAGAAAAAAATTTCTTTTTATTGGCAACAAATTAATTAAAGTATTTCAGTGTTTTTTTTTTGTTACTGGTTGAACAAATAATAATTTTATTCCGGACTTTCGCAGCAACTCTGTATATTTATTGTTTAAAATTCATATATTAGGTACATATTAAGTTGTATTAGGAAAACTAGACATAGGATCCAATTTTGCTAATAAGAATTTCCAACGAGTACATCGAGAACTATACAATATCATATGGTATTTTTTTTCTTTTTTTTTTTGGTATTTCAGCTAAATTTGTTCGGTGGTAATACCTACTTTGCCTACACGAATACAGCGAATAACTTCCAAAAAATATTTAAGGGTGATTTTTAGTGTTAATTTTAAAGAATTATGGATTTTTAACTTCAACACCCTGTATCTCAAAATCTAGTCATAGGATAGGATTGGGTTCCATGGACACTTTAGATAGGGACATCAAGTAATTTAACATAAAAAAATCAGACATTTTGCATAAAAAAAGTGCGTGGTCCTTAAACATTATTATTTAATGTACATTTTTAACGTACATATTACTGAATAATGTTACAAACCAAAAATATCTATATAAAAAGTGTGAAATATTCAAAATCAATAAAACCTAAGTCGGTTAGAATAAAATAAAAAAGCAAATAAAACGAGGAAACAATAAAAGTCGATCCCATTGTAATATGCATTGGCATGAATGTTTTGTTTACAAGCATAGGCGTCCGGAAAAGATTTTTTACTATAGGTAATACAAAATAAACATAGACAAACTTTGTAACATATTGGAAAACTATCGCTTTTGCTATTCGCTCCGTGCGTGACGGCAGCGCCAACTAAAATAGGTACTAAATGGGGATTTTTCGTGTATTGATGCTAATGCTGTTTTTCGTTTTACCTTTTGTGAATGTAAGTATTTTGGAATTTAATTTAGTGTTTTAATTAATTTTTTTTAATAGAGTCTTCGATTCTAATAACCAGTGGCGGCTCGTGGGCACTAGCGGCAGTGCGACACTGGAAAGGAATCCCGGGATTGGTTTTTCCCTTAGGAAAACAAGTTTTCCGCTTAATGAAAATTAAATATATTTCAAAACAATCAGTTGGGGCAATAACGATTTCTGAATGTGACTGCAGGGAGCTAAATGTAACCACTCAAAATGCATTTAACTATGTTTGTGCCTATTTAATCAAAAAATCATTACATATCCACTCTTGCGAAATTTGCGTAAATTTCTCAGAAGAATGCAATTTACTTAACAATTCTAACTTGTTAGGTGTTTGGCAATATAAAATATCCAAGCGAAAAATTTTTCTTTTATATTTTTAAACTAGAAAAAATATTTATATCTCTATTTGATAGTTTGTCAACTAAGCCTGGAATTTCCAACGCATACCTTTTTGAGATGAGCAAAATAAAATTTGGTCATCCTCCAACAATTTGCAAAAATGTACACCATTTAATTATTTATAAGACTCAGCATTTTTTATACTCTTAAATATGCAAACAGAGATTTGAAATACTCGATTAAATCAGACAAAACCAAACGAAAAATAAAAATTTTGTCCCATTTAAAAATATTATTGATTTTTTTTCATCATATTTTGACTGCTTTATAAAAAATAAGTTATTTTTCTTTATAGTTTTATTTCTTAACTATTCCAATGGTCCAACTAACGTTTTTCCGTAATCAAAATAAATAAATTATTATCATGGTCCAACAAACGCGCACCTTAAGCCGAAACCGGCATCACCTTTGTAAGGGAGCCGGTAAAGATGCCTCTGCGTACATTCATATCTGGTCTTGGTAATCTGTGCCATGGGTACAGCACGTCACGATGAGGACAGCGCCCCGCTTATGACGTATAATCCATCGCATGTGTTCATCTCTTGCTAAGCGACATTGTCGTTGTCCTTGTTTTTCGCATCATAATGAGAGAGAAAACAACAGAGGCACACATTTACTGTGCTCTGTGTCCATCTTCTTTCAGAATTCTCGGAACGTCGCTCAACGCCCGGTCGTCCAGTGTCGTGTCAACGCGGTTTGCGCTGAATATATTGAGGAAAATATAAAATATGTAAGTTATTTTTTTTTGTTTATTATACCAGGGCACGTGCCCGAGTGCCCTTACGGATAAACCGCCACTGCTGATAACTCATGCCATTAGTCTCGTGTTCTGTGTAAATTATGGAGTACTAGTACTATACCTAATAGTCTATAATGTAAGCCTTGTTAATGTATTTGTTTTGATATTTACATTTCTATTTAATTATAAACAATACTAAAGATGTATCAATGTATGCAACTTGTTAAACAGAAACATACAATGTTGATGGTTGCATATGATCTGCGAACACTTTTAGTATCGTCATAGTATCTCCTTTTTATTCTCAATGGATCTACAAAAAATGTTTCTAAAGTAGGCCATGACCGACAAAGTCAGAGATTCGATCATGTCTGTGATAACTACATATGGCTCCGAATTAAAGAAGAATTATACGCTCCAACATCTGTGAATTTTTCTAAGGTTTACTTTATAAACATTTTTGTGGATCACTCCATATATTTTCTGACGGGGTGATGGCAAAATAGCGGCTTACTAGACTAGTATGCGTCCACCTTATAGTTTTCCATGGACTCTACCCACCCCATAAAATAGTATAGAAAACTGTTCTTAAAACTTAATATAATAAAATAAAAACAAGTTACCAATTTTCTATGTTACGTCTATGTATGTGTGAGCATCCCTCTAGTTCAGCAAATACCAAATCAAATTTTGAATGTTATAAAAAGAAAATCCTACCGTTTGAGCGTCGATTTCCACACATCCCACTTTATTTCTTTGGCATTCTTTCTCCGTCGTGCATTTTTTGTTCACCAGAACGCTGGTACCCTTTGAATCCATTATATGCAGAGTGTGACAAAATGTTTCTCCTGCAACAAAAAAATAAAACTCGAAATGTATTACGATTATGATGGAGAGGGTTCGATTTCCCATCCATTTTCATGCTTCGGAAGGTTTGAAATGAATGGGCGCTTCGCCACAATTTAGGAGAATAGTATAAAAACAAGTTTTCCATTTTTTTTATGTCATTTGTTAATTGCACCTTTATAGTATATTACATTACGAGTGTGGAAAGTGAAATCACTTTTCACACAAGTGATGTACAATATTTTTCCTACGACCACAAAATAATTTCATCAAAAAATGTAAAACCAGATTATTATAATAATTAAAATGTATTTAAAAAAATAATCAACAATAATCGTATTTATTAAATTTTCATAATTTCTAAACAAATAAAAAAATAAAAAAAAAATAAAAAAAAAAAATTCTGGCACAGCCAGGATTCGATCGCGGTCGTTGGACGGTCTCAAATTGCAAAGTTGATGCTCTAACCAACTGAGCTAACAGGCCTTACGGTAATTGATTGATCTAATCGCTTATGTGTTTAACCAGAATAAAAAGCAAATATATCTTAGTTATTTTAAAATTATTTTAAAAATAATTGTTAAAGATAAATATCTAGGATCTAATTTACAATAATTTAACAATCATATCGATTTTAGCATTAATATGGACATTACATAGATCAAAATAGAAATTATGTGTTTGACATTTTCTGACAGCTACTGCGGAAAGTAGCATATTCTCACTTGGGTGGAAAGTAAATTCTTATTCATACGCGTGTGATATAGGGCACTTTCCATAGGTCTATATAGTGTGATATGTGTAACTTTCCTAAGTGGTCGTAGGAAAACACTTTTACTGCGCATAATGTTCATTAACGTCATGATAGTTCTTTCCCCCATGCCCATGACGTTTTGTAACGTCAACTGAAAATGTAGGTTTCGATGAATGTAGATAAGCCTCTATGCAGTAAATTGTCTTTATAACCCCGTAGGCATGTAAAAGGGTTATTAAATTAGTTCATTATGAATTTGGTTTTGATACTGTGTTTGTGAATTTAATATAGCAAGGGTTTACTAGGATCTAATTAAAAGATGTTTGTAATTGATCGATATTTTAATTTACGGTATAGACACGCAAACAAGTCTTAAACAAAAGTTGTGGATTTAAAAAACATAATATAAAAATATTTTTAAATATACAGGGTGTTACACTTTTGCCTGGAAAGTAAAATAATGTATTTTATCTCTGTTTTAGAATAGTTAGGTAATATTGTACCCACTAAACATGAAACATTACCAGTCTTTTTTGTAACGTTTCTCATAGATACTTTTCTTGATATATTTTTAAAACAATGCTAAAATATCCCATAGATGTTTAAAATTTAACATCATATTCATTAACATTCCTCGCATAAATCTAGAAATGAAGTTTTGTGTACGCTGGAATGCTTCAATTAGCAGTTACATAAACATCTTTTGTATTTCTATTTAGTTAATTGCTTTAATAAACATTTATACAATGTTAATTTGTATAACTCACAATATTATCGCATAAAGGTCAGCACAGTAATGTGTACAAGTTACACATCTTTAAGATATCTATCTTTAGTGTTTACATCGCAGACCTGGCAGACCTAACAGTTCATCTCGCGTTCATAGATGGAGATACCAATGATCACTTGCTACTTACGTAACCGGTAGTATTGTATTATGGAGGAGTCTGATGCTCAGTGTTGAGTATTTCATCAAAGTTCTTACTTTTACCTTTGATATTGATTTAGACCATTGTATTATCATACTTTTTCTGTAAAATTTCCTGGTATTAGAATAGAAGTTTAACTTGTCTTTTAAGAAGCTTTTAACTTTATATTTATTTCTATTCTGTTTTATATAGATGAAATATATAAAATATTTATAGTCCATATAAAATTTAGATAAAAATAAAAAGGTATGTGCGTCACATTTAGTTCAATAATATGATTTTATTTTATGGGATATGTAATAACATCTACAAGAAGAAAAAAGACTTTCTTGGATATAACAGGAATGTCACATCTGGTTTGATAAAAAGACATCATTTTTGGGAACGTTGAATAACGTAACAAAGTAGCGCTATTGGCGATTCAAATTAATTTTCGCGCGCCTGTCATTTGTCATCTATAAGTAGGATGTTTGTTTATTTACATGTTTTTGTTTTGGGCGGATTTTGTATTTGTGATTTTTTTAACTGTTTTTAGATAATATTCTCATTGTAATAGTGTTTTTGAGTTTCATTTAGTGTTAATTTAAGTTTAAGTCTCGTGCTTTCGTCATAAATATAATATTTATCATGTGTATGACTTAATTTGTTGGAAATATTCACCTATTGGTTGCTACAAGAACATCTAGAAATATGTATTCACTAAACCCAGGATATGTTTTATTAAGTGGTTTAAAGGACATTTCAGGTACCACACGTTTATTATTAATGAACTTATTTAAAAATCTTTCTATCCTTATTCTTATATTATTAAGTGAATTGTGTAGTACTTTGTATACATATAAATGCTAATAAAACCGTTACAACTCAGATTAGAGTTTGATTCTAAACAAAGTTTTGCAAAATATCAATATTGTGAATTTGTAGATATCCATTTATCATAAGAAACAAAATTTTACGACTTGTACTTAGAAAATAATTAATACTTCAGTTTTGATTTTGACATTAACACCATATAGATTACAATTTGCCGGGCACTTTTTCGCAGATTTCATTTTTAATATAAACACTATCACATACTATAAGAAATAAACAAATTTAAAGCTAAAAAGTAACTAAAAACTCGAATTCTAATTGATATAAATTAAAATGTAAACAATAGACCTTTTCATCTTGTGATGAGCGCAAGCGCAGCCACCATGTTGAAATAGCGGTAATTCAAAAGTTTCGTACTGATCGACAATGGCTGGGAAAGCAATGTTATCTCTACAGAAAAATTAATCATTAGAAAAAAATCGTTGATAGTGAATAACTTTTTTATAACTCTGTGGAAGCGCATAGTTGTGAGCAGTTGAAAAGGAGGTTGAAGTGTCTTGGATGTTTGTTACAAAGGAACAAAGTGGACTAATTGAGAGGTTAGGTGTATCAATACTTTTTAACTCTGTAAAAAATTAATGAAAACAAATAATAATTATAACTTTATTCTAATTAATTATGCCAACCAACTATTACTACTTGCAAAAACACTTTAATTAGCATGAAAGTTAATCACGAGTATAATTAATAAAATAAATTATTTATTATTTTGAGGACCAACATGACATTTTTAATCATTTAATGTGTATACCGAAGTAGTATTTAATATTAAAAAAATATTGTTTAATACCACATGAGAATTTTCTTCTGTTGGACCACTTTCTCCATGAAAATGCAGTAAAATATAAGTATCTTTAGTAACATCATTAATCCATCGAAAACCGTTGTCACTTCGACCATATTTTTTCACATTTAATGCACATTTCGAATATCTTTTAATATGGATTTTGCCTGATAATTGTTTACGATATTGCAGTTAAGGCTTTGGAAAATTTATAAAATAATATCTATTGCCTTTGAATGATTTATACCGTGTGTCACTTTTACATAACAACACTGTTTCGTTGTTCCTTTCTGTATAGATAACAATTATAATTGATTGTGAAAATGTATTTTTCAATTAAGACACACTTATTATTACTTTACTTTTTTCTTCCTTTTTTTAAATGAATATAGACTTAAATTAATATTTATCAATTATAATTTTTTTCACGTAAGCATTTTAACATACTTGTTTACAAAAACAGTACGAAAAAGATGGCTGAAACTGACGCATGCGCACAAAAAAAAATTGTGATGAAAAGGTCTATGAACACGAACGCCAATGTTGCCAAATGATGAACTGATTTTAAAACAAATTCAATAAATGAACTGAAATTTAAAAAAATCAATATAATAAATCGATTTTATAAAAAAATCCTTATAAATATAATGTATATAATATAAATAAATATAAAGTATAATTACATATTACTAGACACAAATTTTGATTCTTAAATAAAAGGTCTTATACACTTCTTCAAGAGCTAAAATCCGACGACACAGCGAAATTTTGCTACTTCTGGCACCACTGAAACGATATCCTACTTATAGGGACCTTCTACAAATTTCCTCCAGAGGGCGTATCACTTAGCTTGAATCGCGAATATTATCACCGCAACGTCTACATTGTTTTATCACAAAAGTAAACGTCCCTACTCTGGGCTTAGACGGTTATGAGTTCATCCTATAAATGAAAACAAGAGTTAAAAAGAGAGTAACAATGTGATGTAAAGTTCTCATGAATTTAACGTTTTTTTCTACGCTCATGTCAGTAAACGTTAAAAATCGCACTGTCAACATTCCTTGTAAATGACATTTAACAATAAAATGCACGTAATGAGATCTCATAACATACACGTGCTTTTTGATAAAAAAACTCAAATTTCTTAGTTTAAATAAATTGCAATAAAATTTTTATCTACGTAAGACTTTATTTGGTTAATTTACATAAATTTAGTCAATTTAAAAACATAAAAACTTTTAGCAATAGCGAGATACATTTTGGATTAAAAAAATTATGCCCCTAAATGCCGGCAACACATTATACATTATACTAAATATTGTATTTGAACTTAACTTTACCTATGAATATATCTGTTAGTAGTGAAAGTGATGAGATTATGAGCATTCCACCAGAGATTTTAGAAAAAGCTCAAGCTGCCACACATAATTTGCTACCGCTAAAATCCAAAAAAAGGTACGAAATTACCTATCGAAAATTTATGGATTAGCGACACAAGCATATGTCCTTTATTTAATAGAATAAAATAAGTGGGCGTAGAAAAGTATAGTACGTTACACGAGTTGTAAGCCCATTACACACTCGTAAAATTTACGCACTCGCCGCTGCGCGGCTTCGTGCGTAATGGATTACTTACAACTCTTGTTACGTAATATACTATTA